TGCAAGCTGCACGTGGTGGAAATACAAAGGCTGTAGAATATCTTCTTGCTCAAGGTGCTAATCCATTACTTAGAAATACATCAGACCTTGGACTGCTCCATTTAGCTGCTCTTTCTGGCAATGTTCTCACTATTAAGGCTGTGCTCTCTAAAAATCTTGACATAAATGCTATGTGTACAGACCTTGGTATCACTCCACTGTTGTTTTGCTTGACACAGGGTAAACTGGAGGCTGCAAACTATCTGCTTGCAGAGGGTGCTGATGAAAATTTGAAAAGTAAGGACGGGTTGACTGTTCTATCTGCTGCAGCAATGAGTGGTAACGTTGCAGCCATTGAGATGCTGCTTAAGCGTGGTCACAACCCTAATTCCAGGGATGGTCGTGATAACACACCCTTAATGTGGGCTGCAGAGGTGGGAAACAAAGCAGCTGTAGAATATCTTCTTTCTCTCACACACTAAAATGTTGTGAAAGGCCACAGAGGCCCACACTTTTAAGAATACTTGCACAGGTGTAGTTAGATGTAATAAATATTAGTTTTTAAATGAATAGGAGAAATTCCAAGTTTTTGTTACATTTATAATGGATTGGATGATTATTGTCTTTAATTGTAATTACTCATAAGTTTGCATTTATCTTGATGGTAATCCGTGGCAACCATCCCCAGCCCATCAGGTGAAAGGTGGCAAATAGTGAAAGGCCTTCACTGAAGGTTAGCTCCAAATAAGCTGGCTTCCCAGTGGATAAGGAGTTGCAGACCAAAGTGGTGGTGTACTTACCAGGATGGGGTGAGGCTGCAGATGGCACTGCTTCCTCTATAAAATGCTCCATAAATCCCATGACAAGTACATCAGGCGAGAAAGGGCCGCCTTTAAAGCCCTAGCCCGGGCAGGTGGAGCTCGATAGCCTGTGAGGGTAATCCACTTAAGAGAAGGACTACTTCATCCAAACCTATCTAGTGCCAGGTGTAATGGACAATTAAGTCATGCAATTACCCTGGGTTCAAGGACATGACAGAGAGTCCTTTACCCATGCTCTAGCTATGGATAAATAGTCGTTGTTCTTTTGAGAGCAGGCTCTTTAGCCAGAAGATAGGAGATGCCACCTCTGTTATAAAAGCTACAGCCCTACGAATCTTACAGCCTCTCAACCTGCTGAGGTGCTGTAAATCTTCCTTGGGCTTAAAGAGTGGGATTGATGTGCATGAACTGGTCCTCACTTGAAACATACAGAGTGCAGGCAGGAAATAAAGACCTGCAGTGATGGAGCATGGCAAAAATGACAGGTGCTAGATGGCGCTGAAATTGCAGAAATAACTCTGCATGTAGGTGGTCTAGGGTAACATGGTCACTTGCTTGTGAACAGAGACAAGCGACTAAGCAGCTCACCCCAAGCAACCTAGCAGCCTTTTCTAGGGTTGCATTGCTTGCCCTGAATAGAGAGGGGTCTAGTAAAGATGACCTAAAAAAAGTTTGTCTCACATTTACCCAGTTGGTTGGCCCAATCAATGGGCATCCCTAGTTTAGCAGTAAAAACTAGTTAAAAGAATTTATTAGTATAAACTAAAAGACAGACATGGAAACAGATAAGGACTATGAATATGAAAATGGCTTGCTGGAATGTGCAGGCAATGTAAGACTTGGAAGATAGTGTTCACCCTCACACAAAACCCCTCTCTTCGCCTCTCCACCAAAATTCTGGTATATAAGGCTGTTGTCATCTATACCTTCCCGTAAGGGGTCAAGGCATGTGTACTGTTCAGAAAGCAAATCAAATGCCTAGAACAGCAATGCTGCCTTTTCTCCATCATGAACATTAGATAGCAGGACTACAGAACCAACAATGAAGTCCTGGAAAAAGCCAATCTTCCCAGTATGAAGGCCACGTTCATGCTGCGACAATGATGGCCTGGCCATGTCTCCAGTATGCCTGATACATGAATCCCAAAGGAGCTATCAGATGCAAAACGAGACAGAGGGGTTCCAAGAAAATTCTGGAAAGACTAACTGAAGGGCCAGTTGACTCAGGCTGGCATCAACCCCAAACACTGGGAACAGCTTGCAGAAAACCATGCAGCATGGTGATTAACAACAAGAAGAGCAGCACAAGATTTTGAGATCACAAGACGAGAGGCGGCAGAAGAGAGGAGGAGATGACGAAAGGAAGCACAAGAGCAGGATCCAACAGGACCTACCTTCCTGTGCCCTTGATGTCCTAGGATCTGCCTATCAAGAATAGGACTGATTAGTCATCCGAGAGCATGCCTCCCTTGGCAGGACCTTCCCACAACTGATCCTTGGATATGAAGAAACTGCCTTTATCATCACCAATTATATTGTGGCAAATCTGTGTGTATCATATTAGAGATTCAGTTTTTGAGATCATGTAGAGGAAACATGTGTCCTTTAGAATTCCCACACTACAATGCATTTTACTCTGAAGGAAAAACTCGTCTTTTAGAAAACATTAAAAGGTGTTATACTACAGCACAGATAGGCATGCATTTAGTTTTAATGACTAACTAACCTTGGCTAGGAATGGTTATCACTCCTCTCTGCTTGGGTGGAGAGAAGCAGTACAAAAAACACATCTGAATTTGCAGGCTTACCTATAGAAAAGGCTTGACCCTTTAACTCCCAAGATCTGATTGACAATTCTCCCTTCCAGCTGCTACAAATTTCCTTGTAATTTGGTTACAAGAATTTGGTGTTTAATCAAGGTAACATCTTGTACCTGATAAGTTTGAGTATTCTCACTACCTGTTTCATGGTTAATTTATGAATATAGGGAGAAGTTACATGTTAATCACTTCTGGGAGTTAAAGGCTTAAACACCAAGCTTTTTTACATTTCTTGGTATAATGTACAAAATTCAGCTTATTCTTTCTTCACAATGTTTAAGATACTCATGAACTTTTATAAATCCTAGTTACCTGTGAGTAAATGGAAATTACTTTCAATTTTTGCTAGGTGGATTGATAACTGTCTTGTATAGATAACTGTAACAAACTTAATTTACTTGTTTTTAATCTAATTTGACTTAAATCGAGATCTGTTTAATCTCCTTCCTCTCTAGATTGGTAAACCTAGCTATTTCTTAACTAAAGTAAGATTTTTTTCGCAGTGACCTGGATTTAACTTTTTGCAGTAGGATGTAAAACGATGAGAACCATAGATTTCAATTTGGCATCAATGCTTAGGGTTAAAAAATGCTACTGTATGCCATCTTAAGTAATTTAATGAAAAAGTGGTAGAAATTTTCTATATAAACGAAAGGAGTGACTTAATAAATGAAGAAAAAGAGCAAATTTTGTGAAATTTACATCTGTTGTTCCTGGGAGATTGTTACACCTGGTGTGCCACTTTTTTGTTCTTACCACATTTTGACATCATCAATGATCTATTACTGAACAGACACACAGCAACTTGGAATCTATTTGTTAAATATATAATGCATTGATTAGTCCAGTATTTCAGAGCACTTCAGTCCATACCAGACCCCAGAAGGCAAGGAAAAATATCAAACAGTGAAATGCAGATGTAACCTTTGATCACCTCTACATTCCATCTTTGCCTACCTAATGGTATTGTAGCAAAAAGGATCATCATGCTTTACAGGTCAAGGGGGGGGGGGAGTTACTGAACATTCAAATTTGCTGCTTGTATGGAACTCTGTAATGTCAGAGGTCTTACATGTAGGAGTATCACTTAATGAAATATCTTTCAATTGGCTAGTTATTTTCTTCAAGGCTGAGAGAAATGTCTAATGTTACTAAAGTCAATGCAATAGTCTTGATAAGAAGCTGCAACCTTTGTCCTCCCTCAACTATAGGAAGAAATATAGAAAAATGGGAATGGGTGTTTGCATAAATCTTTTCTAGCTTAATAGCTATTAAAATCAGGTCAAAGAAAGGGTCTGCTAAGACCAGTCAATGCAATCATCTGTTGCTTATTTTCAAAAATCAATTTTATTCAATTTATATCACTTTATTCTATATCCACTTACCAAACTTTGCCTGCCATGAGCAGACATCAATCACAAATCTGTTCCAATACACCTGCCAACTATCACACAGTTTTTCATCCTTGGCTAATAAACTCAGTGCTACTTCACAAATTTAACTGACACATTTTCTAAGAATAAACGAAGTTATGAAAACTTGAATGAGTCTGTGAAGAGAAACTTATCATTAAATGACCATGCTTTCCATGAATACTTCCAACCTAAGATGAGAAGGCAGTAAAGAGGGCATCTCTCGAGATTTTCTTAGGTTTGATGCAAGTCTTCAGGCTCTTATGATATGAAATTAAAGGTGCCCAACAAAATCAATTATCTTATACTTTTGACTAACAAAAAGAAAAAAAAATTTAAGTAATTTGCAGGTATATCATAAAGTAAGGGAAATTTTAGTATTATTAAGCAGCTTCAAGATGATGGAACTTTCATGCTAAATAAAAATATCCAGAAAAAAATTGTAAATAACTTGATTGAACATATTAAAAAGTTTTACTCCTGTGAATCTTTTTATGAATCTGCCATGGCCTATTGGCAACAACTAGTGCTCTCATCACTGTGTCATTCAAGCTCCACATTTCCAAATGATACTTCATCCTATTTTAACCCTTAAAACCCTTGGAGTGACCAGCATCTAATTTCTCCTTGCTGTAATACTGCTGAATCATTCTTTACGATCATGAGAATAAAGGAAATGATATTAGGATGCAAAGGGTTAAGATTAACTGTTAGTAATAATTAGAATCTAAAGAACAAATGAGCCATAAAAACTTCATACTTAATTGGGATTTGCACAAGTGCCCATCAGATACTAATTGGACACCAGAGTCTAGTGGATCACAACTTGCTAATTGACTTGTTCACTGTTGCCATGGAAACATAATTTGTGATCCAACTACCATCCACTTCCACCCTCTACTGCCAGTGTGTTTGTTGTGATAAAAGCTGAAGCACCACTTGCCAGAAAGAGTACACCATCTGCCACATCTTGGTGAGAAACCAGTCTTTGTAAAGGTACAAATTCTCAATGAAGTTTGGTGGAAGATGTTTGCCTTCTGTGAAGATGTAGTTCAGTTGAAGCTTCCTTCAGACTTAAAGTGAAAGAAAATTGTGAACTGCATTACTTTGTAAGTGGAACAGGGATTAAGGTAAATTAAATGTTAAACATTGAGTATGAAATATTTTTAGACTAGCTTTCAGCCAGGAAAAGTATTCTTTTAGTAATTGTACATATCCAAAATTCATTTCATCTTAAGCAAACAAATGTTTATCTTAGCCAAACTTTAGACTCTAAAAACCTACTAATAACAATGTCAATTTAGAAGCTTTCCACATGTTTGCCAAATACAGGATGCTTTTGCTGAAACTTTGGATGTCAAAATTGTTTCTGGTCACCATAGGAATCAACACAGTTGCAGCCAAGTGCTCTCTTCTATTCTAAGCTTACCAAAATTGTATGATATTAAAATTGCATTCGGTGCAGGTAAAATGCACAGATTCTGCTTCCCTGTAATTCTTTACCTAGTCTACGAAAACCCTCTGTGTCCTTCACAGCACCTGGTGCAACACAGTTTACCCTAATGCCATCTGGGCCCCATTCAACAGCAAGATGTCTTGACATACCCTCTGATAAAGAGATAAGAAACAGATTATCAGGGATTAAAGGGTATGAGGAAACATCTGAAATCTTAGCCCTGCTGAACCCTCTCTGACTGCCAGATCTCATGAGTAATTTTCCTTACTGTCTGCCATACAAGTCTCATGATGTTGGTTCAGAGAATTTAAAACTGGATCAACTCATACTCCCCTCATTCATAGTTTTCTCTATTACAATCACTTAATCCACATAATATTTTGTCTTTTTATAATGTGATTATATGAACTTACCAATTGCAGGTTTTGTGCTTCCAGTATGACACTGATCAACACAATTTCCCAACAACATTCTGATAAAAAGGGCTAAAAAGGCCAATTTGAAGGAATTGAAGGTCTTCATCTCCAGGCAGTTGAAGTATGAAGATATTAAAGAGAAAGGCCCCATTGCTAAAGCAGTACATCATTGCAAATAAAGTTCAAATTGATATACATGTTTAATCCTTTGAAGTGATCAGCATTTCATTTCTTCCCACATCATCAGCACACTGTCACCAGCAATACTCAGGAGAATCAAGGAACTGATCATAAAACAGAAATTGAATGTATCACATAATTTGAAAAAGAAAATGTATGTAAACTAGCAAGGTGAATTCATATGTTGATGGGTTTAAGAGCTGAAAAGTCACAGAAAGTTACTCATGTTTTGGTGTCACTTCACCCTTAACCTTCCCAGATCTGACCCAGAGTTCTCCTACATTCTACATTCCCTATGGTTTCTTGGAAAGAGATTTAGAATTTGGTGTTAAGTCTAGATAACAACTTGATAAGCTGATGTGTTTGTGTAACCTCATCATATCTTTGCTGAATAATGCTTTGATATTGTCAGGACTTATTAGTCCTTAAACACCTCTGTCACTTTTACACAATTTCCCATTTGACTGTTAAGATGGCATAGAGTCATTGCTACTTATTTTCATGTATGGTTTTGTAAGTTTGTTGGTGAATAGTGCCTCTGTTCTCATGAGGAATGGCTAAAAATTATAAATATATTATTCAATCACTGAGTGAACCAGTTCTGTTAAAAATGCTGCAAACAGAAAATCTCTCTTGTAAAAATAACATTATTTAATGAAGTTTGTGTTCTCTGTTTTACTCATATCACTGACCAATTATAATCCAATCATTTTATAATCTTTAATTAATCTCAGTAGATAAAAGTAGTGACCAATGAGCTAGTACCAATGAGCTAGTTTTGCAGAGCTAACTGGGTTATAATGGAAATAGGTTCATGTAAAATCCCATTTGGTCTGCAAGCAATCACATGCCCTGACTCAGTGCTAAAACAAGAAAAACTGCCTGCTAGAACCCCACTTTGTCATTCACAAACAGGATAATAGAAATAATCAGATGACAATATACCCTATTACCAAATAATATAAATAAAAACTACCAGGGACTTAAGAAAAACTGAAAATAACTGTAAGTCATACACATCAAAAAATTATCCTAACTTGACACATCATCTAAATGAATGAATTAATAAATTCATATAAATTAATTAAATAAGCTTTTAAAAATGGACAGATTAATGCACAGAACAACAAAAGAAAGGATAGAAGAAAGATCATAGAAAACAAAAAAATGTGAGTATTTATCTTAATAATATGAATCTAGACATTAATAACTGAGAGGTCCAAAAATGAAAATAAATAAATTTAACTTACCAACCATATATACAAGAGTTATTAGCAACTTTAATTAGGGAAATTTGTATCCCAAACCTTCAACCTATTAAAAAAATTGTAAAAAAATTTCAATCAAAAAATGCCAAATAGCAATGATTCCAAGAGACAGTTTAGGACTTGAGGCATAAATTATTTCTTTAGAGTTAGGACATCTTTCCAAATTTTAATTTCTTTTCCTTCATTTTTCTTTGAATTGTTTGACTAAGACAAGGGAGAGAGGATAAAAGAAAATGAAAGAGAGGAAAAGGAAATTTTTATTACCAAATCTTAAATCTGAATTCCAAACTTTAACCTGATTAGACAAGCAAAAGAGAAAAACACAACTGTAAGGCCAGAAGAAAATGGGCTCACACTGCTTAACCCTTTACACCCTAACATCAGTATGCATATTCTCCATACTGTTCTACATACATTTGCAAAGAGTGGCAGTTCATTTCAGTTCATCTAATTTACACATACTTAGAAAATCTCCAGCACTATGGGCCACTTAAGCTTTATTTTTCAAAAATGTATCAGTAGTAATATTCTAGCGCCAAGATAAATCAAAATAGAATTTTACATTACACTTACCACAATTCTGGGTAATTGTCTTAGATCAGATTAAAGATTGTTAATTCTCCCCTCTAGCTGCTACACATTTCCTTGTAAACAGGTAACAAGAATTTGGTTTTAGATCAAGATAGGACCTTCTACCTGATAAGTTTGAATATTTTCATTACCTGTTTGCTGAATAATGTATGGATATTATAGAAAGATGTTACATTTTGATCACTTCTGGGAGTTTAAAGGCTATTAAGAAAATCCTTATTGCCTTAATTTTCTTTTAAATTACAGCTTTATTTCACAATACAACCCATGACATACAACAACTAAATACACATTGACATCAGTAAAAAGTTACAGCATACATACAATAAATCAAACCACATACATACATAGGAAAAAAAAGTGAAGAATGAAGAAAGAAAAATAAAATAAAGAAAAGTAAACCAGCAACATTACATAAAAACAGAACATTCCAGTGTAGTTCTGAGTATGAAATTACAATGTAAATAAGTAAGGTTTTTAACATAAAAAATAAACCTGAAGGAACAGTTACATGACAGACTGAAGATAAACTTTAACCTATCTGTTCTACATTATGTATAAGGATTAGTTTATTAATTTTTTGAAACCCTTATTTTCACCTGAAGTACATGATTTACAAATATTAATTCATATGATGCCTCATCATTTCATTCCCATACAATATTTGAATTAACAAAGGTATTATTAATGTGACAACATGTGAAAAAAATAGGTACTTAATAACAGTTCTCATAATGCAGACACAATTCTGCACATTTTTCCCAAAAGCACCTAAAACTGTTATATCAATGCTCTCAGAATGGACGATCACTTCTGAATCTTGGGTATTATTTTACACCTCATGGCAATTAAATTATGTCGACAATGTACCTCGACATCTGTATCACATAAAAAACCAAGCTGCTCTGAATTTTACCTCTAAAAGCCCAGGAAAATATTTGTTAGAAATTGAAGAATTTTTTTCTCAATAAAGCAATGTTGATATAAAAATCTCACCTTTCAATGGTACACCATTAGCATTCAAAACAGTTTGCTCTGCTATGGACTTTGTTCTGGAATAATGGTCAGGATGCTGACAAAAGTCAAAAGAAAATTTCTCATACCTGACCTAAATTACGATTTATTAATCCATGACTACTTTTCCCTCACACTCTCGGCAAAAACTGATTTTGAAAGAAAACTATCAACTACCAGTTTTCTGTTTAAACAAACTTTGCTGTTTCACTTTTGTTCATGTTTGTTTTTTTTTGGTCACAATTTAACAACCTCATGCATATTTCTAATTGAAGAAGTTGTCAGAGCTTCTTCAGTAATCTTGAGAAGTACATGGAACATGCATGGAACATTTTTGAAAACTTGATAACATGGATATAGGAGTTAAATAGTCTACTTAAGAGAGATCTCTCACATATGGGCCTGGTAAGAGGTTGGCAGATGTGTCATGTAAATGGGACTGTCAAAATGGAAATAAACAGACTTTGAATTTTTGCATAAAAAATAGTTGTCTTTAAAAGCAAAGTTGCATACTCCAGAGGGTTTTCTTTCTGGTTTGGTTCATGTTTCTTTATACCAAATGGACTACTATATGTATATGTGAATGTTTCAAGCTTAACTCAAGAGACAACAAATACATTATAGAATAATTACCTTTTCTAGAGGTAAATATGGCAAAGTCTCATCTCCATTTCTGATAACCTGTCCTCCAAACACCACATTATATGTACTTGTATAGACAAGATAAGCCACGTTATGCTGACGGCAGGCTGGAAAGAATGATTAAACATTTTCATTACAATTGGTTTTGTTTGTTTAGGAGAATCAAAGTATAATTCAAAATCAAAAAAAAATTTTTAAGTAAACTTTAATTCCAAGCCAAGTTTTACATATCACTAAATTCACAGACCTTCAATGATATTTTTTGTTCCTAGAATGTTGACCCTCTATATCTGTTCTCTGCATGACTGAAAATAACACATGTAATTCAAAATAAAGCACAGTTTAATTTTAAAATTGATCCCATTTCTTTCCTTCATTTCATCTTGATTTACTGTTTTTCATGATAAAATACAGCCAGATGCCACAACAGCCTGAGTTGCAAACACATCACTAGTTAAAGAGTGGAATAATATATCATAATAATAATACATATTATAATAATAATATACTATAATGTTATTATTTACATAAATAAAGTTGTTGTAAAGGAAGTCCTATTCCAATTCCAAATGATTTCTACCATGACCATCTCAATGTGGACCACGCCCAAGAACAGTCCAAATGAGAAACACCCTTTAATCCTTTAATGTAACCAGCATCTAAATTCTCCTAACAGTATCACCACCGAGTCAAAAAATAGGATCATCATAATAAAGGAAATGATCACCAGCTTACAAATACGTTGATTGTTAAACAGATTCTCTTTGTCAGTACCATGGGATATGTTTAGGGAACAGTATAGAGAATATGGATACTGATATCAACAGGATTTAAGGTAAAGGACAGCTTGGAATCCAATGAACAATCATGTTGCAGCTTATTCCAGTTAAGGAGCAGAAAGCAACAAGCAGTATTGGTACATCCATAGGACTGAATTTCAGTCTAAAAAATCAGTTTTGACTGAGTAGGGTTGGGCCAGAGAAAGACAGAGAAGACAGAGCAAGATTTATCTCTCAATCATGACATTTGGAACAGGCACAGAATCCAAGCTGTGGATATCTTTGAATCCAAAACCTGAAGGCAAATGTATTTTTGTCTGGTCCCACCGTTCACTCAATAAGTACAACATACTAATTTGCTCTCTTCCAGACTTTCCATATGATGCACTATGAAAAACCACATCAATCTGTGACTGATAAATATCTTTCTTACATCTTCTTTACTAGTTATATCCCCCTAAAACGTAAATATGAATCTTATGACATAAAATGAGACTTAAATTTATCATTAGATTTTTAAAAAATTCACTTAAATCCAGGATATCACATAATCATCCGCAAGGTGAAGTGGAAATTATATGAGAATTCTAGAATGTCGGGT